GAGCTAAATTGGACTCAAAAGAAGCCAAGGAGAAAGCTCTGGGCAGGAGGGGATGTCAGAGGACACCCTCAGAGCAGTGTCCCTGTATCAAACCCAGGGGAAACCTTGCACCCTGAGTTCTGTAGAAAACTAGGGCTCAGGGCTGGCAAAAAACAAGACGGTTAGGAAGGCTCTTGTCCCAGGGAGGCAGATAGAGAAAATGACACAGACACACATTTATTCCACAATTTTTCCTCCATGCCCCGACTGGTCTACGTTTTCCCCTGTCCTGCAGATATGATTCAGCGATTAAAGACCTGAAGGAGGCCTTGACTCAGCTGCGAGGGAACCAGCTGATAGACTACAAGATCCTGGGGCTGCAGTTCAAGCTGTTTGCCTGTGAGGTGAGGAGGAGGGGCCCAGGCTGGACCCGAGAGTGTTGGCCTATGAAACTATCCATAATAATTTGCATCGCTCAAGTTGACAAGCTGTTTGCCCAGGATTATACTAACAAATCCAAATCATGGGTTCACTATCCATGCAGGACCTGCCCTGACCTTGCCCAGTTCCCGAGTCACAGACCACGCTCATTGCTATTCATGGTTCTGGCCTCATGTACTTGGTTGATTACCCAAAGAGAGAGAATAATTTGGCACAAATCTGTCCCCTCTCGGTCATGAAACAGCTCAAAGCACAAATTTAGGAAAGTTCTCCATAGAAGGAGAACTTCTTTTCTGTATCACTGAAAAAGAGAAACATGGCTGGCTTGGATTTCACAAGTTAGTGTAGTCTTTCCAACCCACCCTCCCCACACCCTTCTTAAACCTCAAATCCCCCACTAGCTTTGAAAACTAAAATCCCTGCAAATATCACAGATCTTTATTTAGAAGAACTGCTGAAAAATGTCCCCTTGCTTTAGTTTCTCAGACAGGAGAAGCCAAGTGTTTCCAGGGTCACCCAGGGCTAATAATAGCATCCCCAAATGCCAGGTCCCCTGGGGCCATGTGTCCCCATCCAGCCCTGCAGCAGGCTAGCAGCTTACTTCACTTCTCCCAGTCCAGGGAAATGAGGCTTTGCAGTGAGACTTGGCTGGCCTTGGGCCAGCTGCTACAGTAGAGTTTTTCAACCGTGGCACTTTTAATATGTTGGACCAGATCATTCCTGGTTGTAAGGGACTGTCCTGTGCATTATAGGATGTTTAGCAGCATCCCTGGTCTCTATTCACTAGATGCCAGTCACACCCCACCCCCAGAGTGACAACTTAAAATATGGCTAGGCATAGCCAATCAATCACCCCAGAGCGAGAACCACTTCCATAGATTTAAGGGTTGGGACACCAAAGAGCTCTAGCGAGAGGATCATGAAACAGTGGCATCGAAGCAGAATTCCAGGGTAGGGATGTTCCTCCTGTAACTGGCGTGAAGATGACCGTGGGGCAGGAAACGCTGGCTGTATGGGCCTCTCTGTAAGTGAAACTGGACTTTTCAGGCTCTAAGGCCTCTATGCCATATGGGAGCCTCCAGGCATTTACCTACTTATAAACCACTCCTGCCTTCCACCAGATCTAACCCTGGCTCTGAGAAACCCCACCAGCTTTTTAAAAAAGAGGCCTAGCCTTTTCCAGTCCTGGAGTCATAAAAACCTAGTACGGAAAAGATCTAAAAAGAGACTGAATAGGAAGTTTTCAACAGCCTCGAGTTCTTCTTTTGCTCTGCACACATGGTCAAGGGCGGCCGGGCCAGCCAAGTGTGTATGCAGAAGGCAACTGCTCCCTGAGGCTCAGAAACAGCCTGGCAAGGGAGTTTGGCTTTTTTTGTTTGTTGTTTGTTTTTATCTGGCTGATGCATCTAAAAGATTTGATTCTATGTGTATGTTGTGAAGCATAATACTAAAACAAACACTCATGAACCTCCCACCCAGCCCAAGACCTGGAAAATTATGGCTGTTGGTGAGCAGACCATTGCCCCTGCCCCAGGTGAGGCGCTGTCCTAGGCTTGGGCCGAGTCCCTTTCCAGCTTTGGCCCATAGGGTGTCCTCATTCCCACTGTTCCACAGCCTCGTCAGTGCTGTGTAGGGCCGGGTTCTGCGGGGGCTGGGGTAGGACGATGCCTCTGGAACGTTCTTCCTCACCACCTGCACCTGCCCAGTCTCTTGGCCTAGGCTCAGTGGCAGGAGCTGTTTTGAGAGACCACACACATATTTTATTCCCAGCTCTTCAAGGGGCCTTGAGCCTGTCACTCTTCTTGATACTAAAACAACACAATAGTTCTTGTTTCCTCCTGACCTACTTGGTTGTCAAAAAATGTACACAATGTTGGATTTATGCATTACGTGATGTTCACTCAACACCGTCTCCTTGTGCTGGGCGTGAGTCCATAGCAAGATTGAGTGTATATTTTAGACGTTCCCAGGGGAGCTGGGAAAGGGAGAGACGTCACCAGGCAGCATCCCAGGAGCATCATGCCAGCTCCTCCCCGGTACCCAGATGTGGAACAGCCTGTAGTTTACAGCCTGGCCGGTGCTTTTCCAGGTGTTATATAACATCGCTTTCATGCATGCCAAGAAGGAGGAGTGGAAAAAGGCCGAGGAACACTTGGCACTGGCCATGAGCATGAAGTCTGAGCCAAGACATTCCAAAATTGACAAAGCCATGGAATGCGTGTGGGTAAGCGCCCTGGCGATGCGGGTGGAGAAAGGCCGGCATTGCATTTGGATTTGTTTCAGTGGGCATGCGATTGAGAAACCATGGACGTGGTGCTTTTACTTTCTCTGAGTCATGGGCGACACTCACCTGGGGGTATAGTTCCACGCAGGATCTTAAACCTGGAAGGGCCAAGAAGCTGAGGCCTAGAGTATGGGATGGCAGAGCCCTGGCCAGGCTGCCCCCCGAGTGGGGCTCTGTGGCAGCAAAGGGGAGCAGAAGGCTGCAGCCAAGTACTTGAGGGCAGAGGCTGTGCCTGCTTGCTCACTGTTGAGTCCTAGCAGCCTGGCACAGTGCCAGGCACATGATGGCTCTCAGCAAAAATGCATTGATTATGTGAACAAATGCTGAAAATATCCATAGCTTGTCTGAGCACATTTGGGATGAAGCTCGTTTTAAATCAGATTTTTAAAACACCAGGAACAAGGGGACACAAGTCAGTCTTAACATGCCTGCCCAGGTCAGCGGACACAGATCCCAAGACAGCACTGTTCTGGGCCACCCCTGAGGTGGTGGTGTCTCCTACACTGTGACAGCCCCACCCAGCCACACAGAGTGGAAGAGGGGCAGCTCCCTTAGGAAAAGAGGGTTCTGGGCAAATAACACAGTCAGGTCCACACAGCCCCTCAGTGGAAGGTGACGTCGAAACAAACTCTTATTGCCTTAGGCACCCTGAAATAATAAGTTCCGTCCTTACATGTTTAGCAAAAGTGCTTCTGCGAGGTTGTCTAATGGCTCCTTGCATGCACTCTGTGACGGAGGCAGGACAAGCCTCGTTACCTGCACTTTGTAGGTAAGGAAATACTGTGCTCTCTGTGTCACAGAAACAGAAGCTGTATGAGCCGGTGGTGATCCCTGTGGGCAAGCTCTTTCGACCAAATGAGAGGCAAGTGGCCCAGCTGGTCAAAAAGGATTACCTAGGCAAGGCTACGGTAGGTTGGTCTCTCAGCTTCCCTGGAGTCTCCTAAGGCATGTGGGCTGTGCCGAGAGAGGTGGGAGGGATTCCTGGAAAAGGGTACCCCCCTTGTGGCTCTGCCCTGGGGTGGCAAGGAGAGACTGCTTACAGTGCGGGGGTCTTGTTGAAAGACGCTTCTAGTTTATTTTCTCCAGGTTCCCCTCATTCCTCCCTTCCAGCCTGACCCTGGGTGAGGGCCACGGGGTGACTCACAGGATGCTAGTCCTGGGGACTGAGCCAGTGAGAATGGATCAGGCTGTGAGAAAGGAGGGGGCCTTGGGGAGACCACAGGAGGATGGGGGAACATGCTGGCAGAGCCCTCACCCCCCCTTCAATTTCAGGTGGTGGCATCTGTGGTGGATCAAGACAGTTTCTCGGGGTTTGCCCCCCTGCAGCCACAGGTGAGCGGTCCCTCCTGCTCCAGGACCTAGGTCTCCACAGCTCTCTGCGAAACATCCAATTGGGGAGCATGTTTCTGCTGAGCTACCTCCTTTCAAGGGCTCCTTCAACTGACTCTCATGCTGCTGAGGGTCCTGCCTGCCATTCCTGGTCCGGGGCTCCACGACTGGTGGGCAATAGAGCAGTTTTAGGCTTAACCAGGCCCTCAAGGCTTCAAGCCCTCAAGAAACCTGCCGTTCTGCTTCCCCCAAGTGCATCTTCACTTCAAGTTCTAAGAGAGCTGTTGAGCATCTCTCTGGAAGCTTTGACTGTTCTCTCAGAAAACTGAAATGCTAGCCAAGGCTTTGGAACAATTCCTCTTCTCGGATACAGGGGCTAGTAGGGGCCTCCCGGGGGACAGGGGGCCTGGGGCCCTGAGCTCTCCTGGCAGCGCCCATCGGCCCGTGTGCAGAGGGGTCCCTCAGGAACCCAGGGAGGGAGCCCACAGCGAACCGTGTTTCTGCCCCAGCTGGGCTCAGAGACGTGGTTCCAGATGGACTGGATGACAGGGGCCCACGCGAAGGCAGAGCGTCCTCTGGAGGGAAGAGGGCAGGACAGGCCGCGCAGGGCCTGAGCTCTGTCCTGAGAACCATGGTGGGCAGGGGCGCTGGTCAGCACCGGGGGGGTCTGAGCGAGGCGCCTCCACGCGGGTCTGCACACGCCTGGTCACCCCGAGGGCGGCACAGCCAGCCTGCCAGGGCCGGGATGATGACCCCTGGCCCCCAGCGTGACCAGTGCTGGGGCTCTGGAGGGTGAGATGAGCAGAGCAGGCCGGAGGTTCCAGATTCATTGATCTTTCTCACACTGAATTGTGGGAAAGCTCGCGGAGGCCCCTTGGGCTTCAGAGCAGCCAGACGACTCCGGGAGGAGAAGCCGCCAGGTAACTGGACTCCGTGGTACCCAGCGCAGAGCAGGGAACACCACTGAAAGGAGAGTCCTCCCCGGCCAGTGCTCTCGAGTCGATTTAAATGCCCCCAGTGTCATGTGATAGAGCAGACATTAATTATGGAACAGAGCTTTTTGGAAACTGTCCTAACGAAGGGAGGGAGCTCAAGGTCAAGAGCATCCTGGTGGTGCCATGTTGCTCGGCGACAGCTCACCGTCTCTGGAAACCAGGTCTGGCCGAGTACGAGCTGCTGTGCTGGTGAAACCCAGCCCCAGGGAGCCGGCGGGGGTGTTATTTCCCAGTGTTTAGTCAGGGTACGCTGTGCCCTCTCCCCAGACGCTGTTCCGGAGCCAGAAATGCACTCTGCGGGTTTTCTGGTCTGGAAGAGGCTCCGATTACCACTAACAGTCTGTCCTCTCTTGTCCTGCCTTCCTTCCTCTCGAATGTTCAATAGGCAGCTGAGCCTCCGCCCAGACCCAAAACCCCCGAGATCTTCAGGTAAGTTGGGGACAGATCAATACGCACAATATACAAGCTCCAAGCCTGGGCCGACGGCAATAGGGGGGTGGAGACGATGAAGCTGGGGTCAGGGTCTCGTCTGTGGTGGGACTGACCCTGGGAGCCTGGCTACAGCTACGTGGTGCTCCTGTGTCCCCATGTCAATGTGCACAGCCAGCATGTAGCGAGGGGCTGCTGCGGAATGGCAGTCATGTCCCATGGGGCACAGCCACTCCCTCCCAGCAGGGGGACACTGGCCGAGGGCTGCAGGCGCCCAGCTCTCTGGGGCCCAGGGAGCTAGAACGGCCTGGCCTTTCCTGTGTGGCTCTTTCCACTCCCCACTGGCACATGTTTTCTGAAGAAGAGGAAGGACAAGAGAAAGTCCTTCCCCTGTAAGATGAGCAGCACAGCCTAGAGCGTTCTTAAGAATCGCCTCTCGGAGGAAGCAGCCTCGCTCCCCACCCACAAAAGGCGGCTTAAAACAAAGTGCAAGAAGTGCCAAAGCAACTGCCAGAACGAGGGGCCCGGGTTAGCTCATTCCTCGCTCCATCGCGGGCGGAGTCTGTGTCCACCGTGTGAATACACACAATGGTTGGAAACAAAAAAAAGGCGGAGGGGACAGTGGCAGTGGGGAGCGAGAGGCACCCAGAGGGCCCGGAGTGGGCAGAGGAGCGTGAAACTACATCAGGCCACCTCTCAGCCCGCACCTCGGTCAACGCTCCAAACGCTCCAGCGCCTTAGGGAGCCAAGGTCTGGAGGAAAAGGCGAGGGGGAAGTGACCCCTGCAGCTCAGAGCAGGCAGCCTCAGGACGTGCACACACCCGACTCCTCTCCTCGCAGCCCCTCCT